CCCTCGTTTATCTTAACCCTCCTTTTTCGCTCTAAATTTAACAGTTTTGTAAAGACTAACTGTTGATCGGTCGAGCAAGGCGAGGCGCGAACCAAATAAACATAGGGGGTAAGTAACTTAGATGAATCGCTAGGGAAGAGGGTCGCATCAGGCTGCGAAGGGAGGGCTCTTTGCATGCTTACCCGGGAGCAAGTGCGGGTGAACTGGGGCAGATTTCTGCAAAGAGTAGGAATGGAGCTGCCATACGCCCTTGGGTGTGTGATATTCATTCACTCTAAATAAGCCTTGCTATGTTATGTGGATCTGGCTATTATGTAAGTGTGCAAAGAAAGCAGTGCCAAACTGCAATTCTGTGCATACTCACTTTTGGACTAATTCCCCTGAAATGGGCAAGATTTTGGAATAAGATGCTTGAATCGGCTTTGGCACAGGAACAAATAAATAATCAGCAGACATGGCTGTGGGAGAAAGAAGAATGTTAATAATAGATGTTAATAATAGATGTTTTAGTTAACCTCTCAAGAATGGCCAGAGCAGTGCAACTGGGGAATATCTCCTTGTTGTTGCTGAAGTTGCCTTGTGTGGCATCTTTGTGGGCAAAGAGAATTGATGTATCTAGCCTGAACATCATATACGGATAAACAAACTTCCTTCTGGTTTTACTTGCCTTGTTTCCTTGGAATTCTGGGAAAACAAGCCATGCTAAGATGCATATTGCCTTCTGTACCATGATGGTCTCCAGATGCCCTGGCCCAGAGTTTGTTATCCTTGCCAACCTAGGTGGTTGGGGTGATGGGAATTGTGATCTAGTGCATCTAAAGGATGTCAGAGAAGGGCTGGACTGGTTTGTGATTGGGGTTTGTGCACAACAGCCCTTCAACAGATGGTTGAAAAATGCACTGTGTCCTTCCCGTGATAGGCTGGAATGCAGGAATGTGAAGAAAGGGGATTCCATCTCCCTGATGCTCTTCAGCCCCCAGTGAAAAAGACCTTGACTCTAAAGAGTGAAGCTGACCTAATGTATTGGAAATTCAGTTGCACCCATTCTGCTAGAAATCTCAGACGCAGAACATCTCAGGTTTCCAAATAGTTAAATAAAGATTGTATCTTATTTGTTTCCCTTGTGTAAGAGTCTTGTGTGGGTGAGAGAGAGAGAGAGAGAGAAAATAGGAATTAGCATGTCCCTGTGATTTACAATGTCCCCTTTTCAGGAGGAAAAGTCAATTCCCCATTTTAGGAAACTGAGGAACTTTTGACGAATCAAGATAAAGTCCAAGCAGATCTGAAGATTTGCCTTCTTAATGATCTGGTGTTCCAAGCAAAAAAGCTTAGCCTCATTTCATATGCATATGTTTTATCTACATCTGTTACTTTGCTCCTCCCTCACCCTCAATTAATTTGGCAAATACTTATTTCAGAGCTGATAGTCTAGCCTGGGTTCCACACTGGTCTGCTGGTGCCAAAATTAATCATTTGTCCAGTAATTTAGGGGAGAAGCAAAACTATGACTATCTCTGTTCAGATGATATTTCATTTTGTCTTATAAATTGTGCTGCTGTGAATGAAAGTGAATCCTGAAATTTTTCAGGATACAAAAGGATCTTTGGTTGTTTCTCAGATATTTGCAATATGGAATTGTTTCAAAGCAAACCGTATTGTCGACTTGAACATGATCTCAGCTGATGTTAGAATCTTCCCTTTGAGACAATCAAAGGCTCCTCCTCATCACCTCATTCCTTTTGGAGTTCACACTCCTATTTTAAAAGAATTACTCACTTGCTTGTGGTTCAGAAGAACTTGCTGTTGTGCCAGATTATGGCTTTACATTTCTATTCTTTCCATCTTGGCAGAATTGGGGCCCTGATTTATTTTAAAATCTGGTTGAAAGGCAAATGTGCTACAAAGCTCCAGCTACTTAAAAAGATATTGGGGTGTTAGTGAGAGAATCCTGGATAAAATGGAACTGTTATATTCTTAAACACTAACGTTTTACCTGCTTTGGATTGAGGAACTTTCAGTTGTTATTCCATATGTCCCTATTTTTGAGTAAAGCTTGATCTGAGGTTTATTTGTGGTTACAGTGCATGATATAGTCTGCATGGTGACAGCCACATTCACTTATTAAAAATAAATATAATTTAAATTAGTAGAATTAATCTCTTGCTAAACTTAGCTTGGAATGGGTTCTTAATGTACCATCTGGAATATACCCCAAGATGTAGCAGGGAGTAATCATTTCCAATGTGTTGATGAGATGTTATCTGACAGTGTTTCACAAAAAACATTTACAATGCAGGAAACATTTGGGCTGGGTTTGCACATCACATTAAGCCATAATGTAGTTTGTTGAGTTTTGAGTTAGCATGTTGCATGAATCCAGATTTTATGGTTTGTAAATCATGCTTATAGTCTAGCACATTGTAGGAGCCCAATTCTTGGACTATGGTTTATGCTTAGCATGTTGCATGAATTGAGCCATTTGTGGTTATTGGCACACCACGGTTGCAGAAATTATGGCATAGTGTAATATGTAACATGTCAGTGTAATGATACTGCATTGTCAGAATAACCAGGAAATCAGAGAAACACTTTACATGCACATACAGTCCACCGCAGAAGGCTTAGAAATCTAAATTATCAGGTAGTCTGATGAAAAGATTCATTAAACTGATAGATCCTTTTGATAAAAGAGAAAGTGGATGTATGTTCTAGTTAGATCCCATTGAAGTAGTCGAAAGAAAAGCAAGCTGAAGGAAATGGATGCATCTCATTTGGAAGTGTAACATTTGCCATCTTGTAATTACATAACTTGCAGCTGAATAAAAGCTAACTTACAGTCTAGATCCTGTATTGATTCTGCAAGTATAGATCCTTGTAATTGAAGCAAAAGCCCATGTGTTATAGATGGTTAAATTACATGCTCTAATCTGTGAATCTGAACATCTCAGGTTAATCATAAACCAATTGTTCTGTCTTAGCTGGATGCTGTTGAAAGATAGTTGAGAAGATGGAACATTTGCTCCTTTGACCCCCTTGATGATTTAATTCCAGGGATATTAATAAATGAATGTCTGGATCTAGAACAGTCTGTGCTTCTATTTTATTTGTGGAGGTTGGCTTTTTTAGTACACCCATGATTGGATGCTATAGTTACTAGGGGTCAAATGAGGGAAAGAGGTGGTATGAGTTTACCATTTAAAAAGTTGAGCAAAATGATATTTATTGTTAAAAATGATGAAATATTCAAAGACATCTTTTCATAAAGCCAAAAGATAAAACCACTGTGAAACAATCCTTTTAAACAAAGACTGTTAAAATACATTAAAGCAATATTTCCAAAATTAAACCATCTTAAAAAGCATAACATCATGACACCAAAATGCAAAGACTTAGAAGGTACTAAAAAGCTGTGGGATGATGGATCTCTTTGGGGAAAGGCATTACACAGGAATGGGGACTCCTGAAAGTCCTCTCTCAAGAGATAATGCACCCAGTTGCAGTGTGCCAGGGCAAGATGCAACAGATACTTGGTTGATTCAAACCACTTGTTCATCTGCTGCAAATAATCCTGTGGTTTGCACCATAGTACAAAATTGTTTTTGTGATTATATACATGAAGGACAGTGGGGGTTCTAATGAGCATGTTCCTATCCCATTTCCCCTCCCCTGGTGATTTGGTTATCTCCATATGTAGCCATCTGCATAGGTTTAGACCAAGATGGTCAAGTATGCATAGATGGGCATGTTATTCCTTCCAAACAACAACATGCTATTCTTTCTTAAATAACATAATGAGTTACATAAAAGTTATCTGTCTTTTCAGTTCTGGGCATAGACATTCTTTGGCCATGGATGTATTCATGAAAGGATTTAATAAAGCTAAGGAAGGAGTGGTGGCAGCAGCAGAAAAAACCAAGCAAGGTGTGGCAGAAGCAGCAGGGAAAACGAAAGAAGGTGTTCTCTATGTGGGTAAGTGGCAAGAGGCACTAAACCTGGAGTGTGCAATCTTTTTTTTGAGATAGGGGCCACACAGCCTTTGATTGGCAGGTCAGGAACCACAAATCAAGAATCGGGTGGAGCCCAGACAAAAAGAAAATATGAATGAAATTGAATGAAATCTAAATTCAATTGTTAACATTTTAATAATTTCCCTTGTGTCCCAGTCAAATTAAGATTTGATGCAAATAGAGAGAGTTGGGGGGCAGGGACATACAGAGTCAAGGTTCATTAGGAACATGTGAAGTTCTGGGTTCAGTATGTATATGTATGTAGAATTTAGATTTTTATCCAGTTTTATCTCCAGGAACTCAAAGTGAGGTGTCTTGCACTCCTTTCTTCAATTTTCCTTCACAAAAACAATCCAGTGAGATAGGTTGGACTGAAGATGGACCTGAGCTTGGATCTCCTGGGTCCCAGTCCAACATCTTAACCATGACAGTAATCTGAATCTCTCTTACATGCTGCCATTCTGTACAGAGTGAACAATCAAGATGGCCTGTAGTAAGGTGCTCCTCCTTTAAACCAAACATGTCATTACATTTCTTGTGCTGCTTGAATGGCGAACCTTTAAAACTGGAAACAAGCTAAAGCTTCTACTAAGTGTAGAAGTGTAATAACATTTATTTGGGTATAATATTTATTCCACTTAGGAATGAAATGTCTGTTGTATTGGCAGATTGCTTGCATCTCTTCAGGGAGAGACCTTAATGTTAAAGAAATTCAAAAGGGATGCATCGCATCTGTGGGGAGTAGATTCATGGCTGCTATCAGGATCATCAGGTCCAGATCTAACCTTTGCAGAGCTAACCTAGATGAATGTGTTGAACACTGATGAACCATGGGTTTGTTTCCAGATGTGTCTTAAGGGCATAATTTACCCCTACTCAGGTTTGCCCAGTATTTCCTTATCCAGTGAGAATATAGTCTAGGCTGGTTTACTGCTTAGAAATGTTGTTCACATACGGCAAGCAACTTTGTCTGCTGACCTTTCAGAGGAGGCCATCTAGAGATGTGAGGATGTCATCAGAAAGGGTGTGGCCAAAATATTTAAGTCCATTTTTGCTTTGTTGTTGTTATTGTTAAAGGATGGGAAGGGGAAAATCACTCCAGCCACACCTTTAAGCCACATGCCCAAACTGTCAACAAAGAGTCCCCACTTTTGGAGGCGCCCATTTGGAGTTGTCTTTCCATGGCTTTAAGGGTAGCTTAAAAATGATTTGCCTCCCAGTCATTTCTCAGCCTCATTCCCACCCCTAAAATCCTGGGAAAGAAGACAGAAAGGGGACCAAGCCCCCAAATGGTTACTTCTCTAAAGATAAAACAACAGCATGCTGCCATTTTACTGTTGGCGCAATCTTAGGGAATGTGGGGAGCGGGGCTCATGCAACCTGTGGACTTCCCACTCCTGGCCTAGATTGTGGATAGGATGGGGATGGTGGACTTATTTAGCAGTTGTTTTGATGGAATTCCAGTCATTAAAGAAAGTGAACCAGCAGATTTCTCCATGCTCAGCTGAAAACTGTGTGATTCATGCTTCATAGCTAGTGTGAAAGCAGCAGCATTTTCCATAGATGTTCTGCTTTGGAACACACATAAACTTTCAATTTTCTTATCTCGGCTCCCCCATCACCACCATCTGGTATACACACCAAAAAGAAAGCAACCTAACTGATTTGCCTAGAGGAAAATTCGTGCTTTACAAAAATACATGTGGGTTTCTTTCACTGGTGTTCTCAAGAATGATCTTTCTGTTAGTGGTAATGTTCTATTTATTTCTTTTAATAAGCAGAGAAAAGGGTAGTTTTGGAAGCTTTTACTTTCATTTTTGGTTAACTGCAATTTGTTACATCATCTGGAACGGCAAGCTGTGCTTAATACTATAAATATTTTTAAAGAAGGCAATATCAAGTCATGGACTGTGAAGTTGGCTGTTGTTGTCATTCACTTTAGTTTTCAGTCTGAATAATATGGAAAACTAAGTTCAAAGCAGTATGAAAACTTAAAAGGTCTCCAGTTTGGTGGAGTGGGCAAGTGCACAAATCTTAATTTAGCCAACTTCTGTGAATGTTGCAGGACACCCAGAGGATGCAACTTCAACATGCTCAAGGGTCACATTAGGCTTTGCACAACATGTCAAGGACTGTTCTCCAGAAGTGAGTGGGGCCAGTAGTAGCCCACAGTGTGGAGAGGGGAGCAGAGGAATGAGAGCTGCTTTTCCTTTGTCATATGAAATGTTAATAACCATGATATTATCTCAGATGACAAAGCTGGAGCAATATGGAAGCCATCTTAGTAAAGGAATACCTGATGTTTCATATGAATTTTGGAAAAGATTGGCTTCTGCCATTTAAAGAAATGTCCAGTGATCTGAGCAAAGGAAATGTTTTGCTGATTATTCAAATGGAGTTTGCATTTATGAAGAAGATAACGTACAACAAAAACCAATGAGCATGAAAGGAGTGGGGATGTGTAGAAAGGATATGTAAGCTTTCAATTTGCAAAAGGCCAGCACCAGCATATGACATCCTTAGTCAATGTCTATTGATGCAGCAATGGACCTGGCCTATGGCATCAGATCCACTTCAACTAGTATGAGTTTACCACAATTTTAATTTCCCACAATACCCTTACCTTTGTTTCATTCCATTGCATTATGGGGCAATTAAAAAGGCATAGCTAAATCCAACAAATTCATATCTGGGAGCACTGTCACCATAAACCAGCTAAGCACATTATATCAGTGATTTAATCTTTCTAAACCACAAAAGGCAAATGATTGAAGCATCTTTCTGTCGTGGAAGGCTTATCTATGCATCAGATTCTTTTTGCATCTATAGGGGGTTAGGGTACTTTGCTACAAAAGACCTCTAATGACTCCAATAACTTTTCACCAGAAAGTGGATCTGTCTGATAAATTCCTGTTTCTGGAATGTATTACCACTTGGACAAATAAAGGCAGGGTGGTTGGAACATGACCATTGTCTTTGTGTGAACCCAAGCCCTTATGTTAAGCCATAATTTGCAGTTTATTGTGTGGGCTACTATTTTATATAAACACAACAATTGTGCTTTGTGAACTTAGGTTCAACAAGTTATGTGAACTCAGCCCGGGGTTCTTTAACTTTATCCTTATGCTTCCTAAGACCCAGTCCATTCAGTTCCCACTGAGACTGATTTGTTGTATTGTTGTTGGATAAACAGGGTCAAAGACCAAGGAGGGAGTTGTCCATGGTGTCACGACAGGTAAGTCCATAATTGCATTTCTATTTCTAAGTCTGCAACAAATCTCTTGTCTGTTCTTTTAAAAGTAGACTCTGATTTAGGAAGGAAAGTAGGTCTCCAATATGATTAAGTATTTGGGAAACCATACTGTTGGTCTTATTGGGAGATGAATATTCCTGTAGATATGACATTTGGAGATATTAATCTGTAGTACAATTCCAGTTTCACTGATTATTCAAACACATGACATGCCATCTGTGGTGGACACGTAGCCAGCAAAGTATTGGCCCAGATTGCATATCTGTTTCTGGGCAATAACCAGTGGGCCTCAGTGATGATTTGCACTGCAAGAGAATCATGTAATGGATGGAATGCTCCATTGCATCTGTAGTCTTTTCTTACATTGAAAGCAGCTTTCATACCTGGAACTCCTTTGATGCATTGGCAATTGTTTATAAATTAGTTATATAAAGTAATATACTGGTGTAGGCTTTCACGGCTGGTATCTGTTGGGCTTCAGGTTTTAGTGATCATGGTCTAGAGAACAGATTTCCTGATATTTTGCGGGAATTGTGGCTCACATCTTCAGAGACAAAGTGGTCAGTCGGTCCCTGCTCAGTTGCCTGTGGTCTGCATAGCAGACCACTTTTCCTCTAAAAATGCCAGCCACAGTTGCCGGTGAAATGACAGGAAATCTGTTCTCTAGACCATGGTCACTAAACCCTGAAGCCCAACACTGTCCAATGGTACAAGCAGCTTTGATTTTTTTCCCCCCTAAGGAACTTCAGAAAGTCTGGATACCCAAGAGTCTGTTTACAGGTGTTGAAATTTTTAAAAGCTGCATTGGGCTGAAATTTCAGGAAGACTTCTTACATCCCCCCTACCTGAAGAAGCCAACTGGCCTCAGTGCTCTACAGCATCCCTTGAAAACTCTTAGAAGGATCTGAGGGTGAAGGCAGCTTGAAAGACTCTTTCTAAATGTCCAAAATCAGGATGGTGTTGTTTTTCTTTTAAAAAGCTGGTGGTTTCTGTTAACAGCCCAGAAAACTTTGCTGGGAGTTACTTCTTAAAATGCTGAATTGCTTTCTTAATGGTCATGCAGCTTCCACTTCCACACTGAATACCCTGATTAACTAAGCCATGGTTCCTCTGCAATTCGTTAACAGTTGCTGATGGAGCCACCTTCTCTTACACTTGTTTTTCCTGATGAGGTGAGGCCAAAAAAAAATTAAATTTCATGGAAAAGGAGGGGCCTAGCTAGGCCTCAGCAAACCAGAATTGGCCTATAGACTGAAAGTTCTTTACTGCTAATCAAGCTAGACGATTGCTCCTGACTCCACATTCACTGGCTCTTATATGAGTTCAAAGAACATTTTTCATTTCAGTATCGATAGCTAACCTTACTCTCTCTTTGGTAAGCCCTGAATATTTTGACTGGTGCTAGAAAAAAAGAATTAAAAAGTTTCCCACCAAGGAGCAAGAAATTGAGATAATTAACACAAACTGTTGGGAAAGTAGCTGTTTAGGTCATCATGTGTATTTTTATTTTACATAATGTGCATATTTAAAGAGGATGATGGTAAAATAAGTGCAGCATTACATGATCAGGATATTTCCTTGCATTCTTTTTCCCCATGATGCTCAATCCTTCTGCATGGAAAGATATTTAACAAGTTGGTGGCTCGTCTTGCACTGGCTGAATTCCTGTTGCTGGGGTGTGAAATCTTTTGCATCTAGGAAAGGCTAAAAGAGAACAAACGTATGGATTTGGGTCTTTTGATGACCTACATTCATCTCAAATAGTCCCAGAAAGTCATAGAGTTGAAAAGGGACATTCAGGCCATGTCCAATCCTTGTCCCTGTAAGAGATGTAGCCTCTGCTTGAATAGATCCAGTGAAGAGATGCCTACTATTTTGCTGGGTAATTAGTTCCACTGTCAAATTTCTCTTACTGTTATCAAATTTGTCCTTATTTTTAACTGGAGAGCCAGTTTGGTCTAGTGGTGAAGGCTCCAGGCTAGAAACCAGGAGACTGGGAGTTCTAGTCCTGCCTTAGGCATGAAAGCCAGCTGGGTGATTTTGGGCCAGTCACTCTCAGCCCCTAATGTCAGGCTTAGGCAACAAGTCAGTCAGTCAATTCCTGTCACAACCAACAGATCAACATTCAACTGACTGAAAAAAAGCAGACCCTGCACATGCCAGAAAAATGCTAGGAAGAAAAAAAAATAACTGGAGTCTGCTTTCCTGCGTCTTCTTATAATTCCTCCCTGCTTTTGTACACAAATCACAATGAAAGGGAAACTCTCATTCCCAGGCTGCATGTGGATCACAAGCAGACAGCCCTCTGTGTGTCATCAACATTCCTTAAAATCTTGGGTTTCCAAGCTTCATTCCTTGTCCTGTCGGGATGTCTGTCTTTGACCAACAAAGATTATTTTTAAAAGTCCGAAAAACAAATCTCCGTGCTTTTTTTCAGCAGCATTGGTCAATTCTGCTGAATGACTTAAGACCCCAAACACATTTTTAGTATGTCATTCTTGAGATTTGCAAATAACCTGGTGATATGGAAGTAATCCACATCCATTAGCTTCATAGGCTACAAAATCCTCCTACATTGCTTTCTTTTCTAATTGTGCAGAATGCTGTTCAAGTAGTGCAAGATCTATATTTAGTCTCACAAAACAATCAGCACATCCTCTAGGTACCATAACCTAATGCACATCAGGATTTCATCTTGTTTTTCTGTATCTCTGGAACAGTATTGAGTGAATATATTAGAAGAGCTCTATTGTTTCTTGGGTGGGCAATTGAAAGCGAAACACTTAAAATCAATGTTTAGAATGAGAAGGAACAATACACTGTGATGTCCAAGTGATAATAGATCTATAACCAGATCAATGACAACCCTTGGACCAAAATAGGAGTTGTTGATCCAGAAAGGCCCCAAATGGCAATGCTATACTGCCCAACTGGTCAAGGTTGCAGAAGCAACACTTCATTTTAAAAAATGGAAATATAAATGGCAGGCAACGGCCATTCTGATGTTATCTTTGTGGGTGAGGGTCAAGGATGGCATTGGAATAGTAATGGTTTCGAGGCATTCCAGTGCAATTGTTGGCTGCAGCATATAATTGATAAATCTGCCTGTTACTTACATTTCCATGAACTCTTCTCTTATCAAATGATTTGTGGCCCTTGTAGCTGCAGCTGCAATTCATGACAGGATCTCAGAATACAATTTGACCTTGCGTGGTGATCAAAAGACAGTTGATATAGGAACAAATTCAGATTTTCTTCCCTTGTGCCTCCCCTTTTTGATAAAGTATGGATGTAAGAAGGAAGCTCCAAAGCCTGGGGTAGTTCTGCTGTTCTACCTAATTCTCCAAATCATTGTATTCTGCAACGTCTGTATCAAAGATGGGCAACCTAGTATCTGCAGATACTTTGGACTATAGCTAACTTAATCTATAACCATTAGCCATGCTGCTGTAGACTAAACCATTTGAAGGTGCCAACTTGCTTGTCTCTTGCAAAGCTTGTCTGCTTTGGAACTTTTATCAAATATATTTTGTTTCTCTTCTGCACACACACCAGAGCTGTTCTCATTGTCTACACATCTGCTGTCTGCAGGTTCATTGGAGCATGTGAATAATGTTGATACTAGCTTCCATGCAATTGGAACAAAACTGTTTCCATCTGATGCATTCATTTAGCTTGAACCTGTGTGTACTCCTAAAATAGCTTTTAAGTAGGGCTGTGCAATTCTTTACAACATGGAATTAATTCAATGAAGTATCTATGATTTCATTTGTTGAATCATACTTGTTTGTCAAACTGGACTGAATGATACAGAAGAGACCTTATCGCCCAAGTAAAAAAGCTGTTCAACTTCTGAGTCAAGTCAATCTGCTCCGTATATTTGAATTGATTATTTGAAGTGGACTCAATTCACATAGGTATATTTTTTATTCAGGTTAATGGATTTTTCAGTATAAGCAGTGGGGTATGCCTTTTGTAAAATAGCAGTCTGTAAACAAGCATGTATTTATTTAGTTAACCTTGATGTACGAGGTTGCTTTAGATCTGCCTTCCCATATCAGATATGTTAATACTGAAACTCCCCAATCCATCATGGGATGGCAGTTGTACTGCCAACACATTTGATAAAGGATGGCACTTTTAGAAGATCCATCAGGTAGACCTGGGTAAGCAATGTATGAACATTGGAGGCTAAACTCAGTCAGTCTGACTTCTAAAGAGACTAGAATGTCATCAAATGACAATGTGACATGAAAGGGCTGGGTAGTTTTGGCCTTCTGGGGGTATTTAGGCTAGGGAAGGGAGATGAAAACCCCCAAGAAGTATCATTCTCATCCTTGAAACCACCTCAAACCCCCCAAATGGGCTGAGGTTGCACCACTGAAATGGTGCACAATGATCTGCAGAAGACTATGCAAACACTTCCCCGTGAGCTGTTATCCTTCCCTCCATCAGGGTACCAACCTGCTCAAGTAGATTTTCTGCAGCAGGGAACTATCCTCTACATGCCAATCACACAGCAAGTGTGGTTTCTCACAGTCTTGAGTTTCTGTAGAAGCTCCATATCTAGCAGAAGAAAAGAACGTTTCCCCCTTACGAAGCCAAAGGAAAGATTCATCTCAAGAGAATTACAGCCTCTTTTTTTGTTTGTGTTAGGTAACCCGGAAAAAAGAATCAAATTTAGAAACAGTTGCATATTGAGTACCTTTGGGTTCAACTAACTTTGGAAGAAGTGTTGATGTGGCTCCTTTTGAAAAAAAGAAGTTCACATTTCAATTTTGTTTAGGAAGACTCATTGACTTTTGTAGGTGCTCATGCTCTTTTGAATGATCTACTAATGGTTTTGGAAACTCACTGGATAAGAGTTGAAATGGATATTGCACACTTTTATGATGTGGAAAAAGTACTGATACTACAAGATTGAAAGGACGCACCATCCATTTTACAATGATCTGAAGAGCTGACTTTTCTTTGCATATATAAGCAAACATTAGCTGTCAGGAGCCCCAGCTGGAAGATTATTTCAAAATTTGAACTGTAATTTATATAAATAGATTAGTTAAAAATATTTTTAATTACATTTAAAAAAAAAAATATGTAATTGTATACTAGGACACAAAATACGTATGTAGGGCAAGTTTTATTTAGTACCTAACAGATATAGATCGATAGATGTGTGTGTGTGTGTGTGTGTGTGTGTGTGTGTGTATATGCGCTTTTGTGGTTTTCTTTCTTTCTTTTGCATGCCCAAATTGCATCCTCTGCCATCTGTGAATGACCTGAGACAGCCATATTTACCTTGGAAAGTAAGCCTGAGAAACTTTCTCCCTCCCTTACCTTTCACTTTTTCTCCCCTACAGTGGCTGAGAAAACTAAAGAGCAAGTGTCAAATGTAGGGGGAGCGGTTGTCACCGGAGTGACAGCTGTAGCACAGAAGACAGTGGAAGGTGCTGGAAATATTGCTGCAGCCACTGGCTTTGTCAAGAAGGATCAGTTGGCCAAACAGGTTTGTGGAGCTGGTGGATATTTGCAAAAGATGGGTTTAAAACGGAGCATCTTCTTTCTGTGGTTTTGGAAAGGCTTAACTAGTTGCGCTTGCTCTGTTTTTCTTTGCTAACTCTCTTCTCTATAATGTAGGTAAACCCAGTGAATGATGGGAAATCACTGTTTATATTGGTTGCCTTGCTAACGTCCTACCAGGACCATTATGTCCTACTTGACCCAATTACACATCACTGACTAGTGGGATCAGCACAGTGGAAAGCCTTAGGATGTCACGTTAGATGCATCTCGCTCTGCTTTCAAATCATCATTGTTCAAGGAGGCCTTGGCCGTATGCATGGGTGGTTTCCTTCCTTCTTCAGTTCTGGGCAAGCCCACCTATAATCTCCAAGCTCCTTTTGTGCCTCTTCTGTCTAAAATACCATGGTGTGATTTTCTGGCATTCTGAGGCAGGAGGTAATGAAAACTGTAGCATAAACTCTCTAAAAATGTTCTTCCTTGAATATAGTGAGGGGACAAAACCAGAAAACTTCACCCCTACCTTGTTGGTCTGTTCCTGCCCCCATCCTGCAGAACCCTCCCTTCCCCTCAAAATGTCAAGGGCAATGCCTGAACACCAAAAGACTGTGTAGCTCTATACTAGAATATGATAGGGGGACTGATCTAAGTTCACATCTGTCAGCTTCAAGGTTGAATATTGTCAGCCGTCCCAGGTAGACTAGACAGGAAACAAGACCAGATGAGCTAATTCTACTTAATTGTAAGGCTACATTAACAGAATCTTGCAAGTCTGAAAGTACAAATCTCCTACAGTCTCCTTCACAGGGTCCCTTCTGATTCTGTTTTTCCGCCTATTATGCAGCTGTGGGCTATGCCCTCTCTTATCTGATGATTGCTTAGGCAGCATCTCTTTGCCCTGTTTCTCAAAGTCTTTCTCACATTCCATTACAATATGGATTGGAACCCAGCTGCTTTGCCCTAGCCTAATATTTTGGGTTTACTAAGGTATGGAAACATAGATAGCATGTAGGAAGTCTGATTATTTGATGGCTTATACCGTTTGTTTTGACTGAGAGCAGTTTTCTCAGCTCTAGAGCACAGAGCAGCTTTTCTGATCATTTTTATCCAATCCATTTTAACTGGGAATCCCAGGGATTGAAACTTTCATCCTTTGCATTTCAAGCATTTGTTCTATCTCTGTGGTTTACAAAGAAAAGAAAGGGAAGAGTAGGGATGCATGTCAGTGTTGACAGTTGGAAAGCTGTATTTGCTGCCTTAACTTAGGGTGTAGGTATTTTTTTTTTAAGAAGAGCTTTATAGTAAATCATTTGTCTAAGAGGTGTGGGTTTTGTTTTGTTTTTTGCACTTTCCTTTCAATTTTTAAAAAACAAATATTGATTAAAGGCTAAATGAGAAAGGTGCTTTACTGTACATTTGGCCTATGTTCTTTGTATAAGCCATTTAGAAGCATTTGCAGTTAACATGGAGCAAATCACTGGGGAATCTGATGAAAAGCTGTTGGGCAGAAACCACTGTTTTATTACTTGGAGATATCTTTCTATATCTGTCAAAAAAGCAGTTTTATTCATTCTTCCTACAGACCTTTATGAAACCATATTGCCCATTTAGCAAAGATAGTGCAAATACAATACTGCTTGTTGTGTGGCCCGGTTATCACTACTGATGGAAATCTATATTAGGCTGAACCATCTCACACTGCAGATTTTTAATGGAAGCAGCCCCTTCTGTTTTCTCTCCATGTCTCTTTTAAATTTTTATTTTGTATTTAAAGTCTCAAAATCTGTACAAGGTTTTCCTCTCTCATATCTGTTTTGGGCTAAAAGCCTATGATTCTGATATTCAGTTTGATGGACCAGCTTCCTAAAATATGCTACATCCATTTCATAATTTATCACATTTAAAATCAATTTGAAATGATACTTCCCCCCCCTTTTTTTTTTTGCAAAGCCATTGTTACATTGTCATTTAAAGTACAACCAGTTTATGGATTACACTAATCTTCCATTAAGTACTTGTTCAGCCCACATCAGTATGCATTTATGATATGATTCAATGAATTAAGATAAATGCATCCAACAGCTTTTGAATGTGCCTATCATAATAGTTTAATACAGGCATTTACTAGGCACTTGTTTCATTGTCCAGATTTTTCAAGGCTTAATTTTTTTAAAAAATAAAGGACACATCTCTAATATATAGAAAGCATCAGCCTTAGAAAACTTAGTGAAAGGAACATGAATAAGTACAAGAACCAGATGTTTCCAGGCATATAAAAGATTCATGCCTCTAATAAATTGAAAAGACATCTGCTGGAAAGGTGATTCAAATGTGATAAATATTTTTCAATTCCCAAAAGCCTAAACTTGGAGGGCATTCACATCTTTAAACTTGCCAGGCATCAGTCCAGTAAAATTTGAAAAGTGTTATGTTAGCCTTCCCCAATTTATATGCTAGGATTACAGCTCTTGGGATTATCCATGATAGCTTGTAAATTTCAGAGTGGGGACAGCTGTGCTAGATTGTCAATTGTAGAGGCTGAAGTATATTTTTTCACCCTGATCCAGGCTTAACCAGTGGTCTCATAACTTCTGAGACTCTATATATTTCAGAGATAGGTAAGATATTTTGAGCTGTAGTATCAAATCGTGGAAGAGGTATGGTCAACTTAAGTAGTTCATGGTCTTAGCTGTTGCTGTTGATGAAGGTGGGCTATTGGAAGATTCTGAGGCTTATTTTTTTGTTCCTCCAATACTTTAATAAAGGCAAGCACACCAATCAGTCCTGCAAACAAGAGTTATTGAAAAACAGTAATGCATCTGCAGTGTCTGTCTTTGTTAACTAAGCAAAGTTAGAGAATAAATGTCACCATTACAATGGCAGATCTACCAAGAATAGTGGTTTTACTTTGTCCCATAGGCGTAAATGGAATCAAGCCACTTTTATGAATGAAATGAAAGGGTACATCTTTTGTGGCAAGACATTGAGAATATTATGTAGCCTCCACCCCAGATTCTAGGACTGACCTAAACAGAAGCTGTCTAACAAAGGCACCTTTGGGGAAGACATCAAAACAAGGTCAATATGGTGGTCATGACTGTGCAATCAAAACTCCACCCCTTTTATATGGGTGTGGGTCACAGCTGCCAACTTAACTTTTTTTGATACCCCCAGCTGCCTAAAGGAATAAGTAGCTGATGCTTCCATTAACTCACCCAGGCTAAGGTGTATAGTATTTAAAGCCAGGAAAGTTATTTAAGCACAGGAGGCAGTAAATTCTACCAACACCTATCTTTGTTCCAGTATGATTGAATATTAGGAGCTAGCTTTTATATCTTTAGATAAGAAGATAGTAGGCTACCTATTATGATGGATGTTTTAAAAAGAAAGAAGTAAATGAGTAAGAAATTCTATAGAGAGAACACAGACCTTGCCTTTAGGCATGCAAATTTGTCTGTCTAATTAAAGGTAAAACAGGAGAACTTGCCAGATGTCAAGAATGAAGCACTGCAAGATCTTCACTTTTGAAAGGTCAAGTGAGTCTTATTAATATCTGGAAAATACAAACAAGATGACACACATATAAAAATGGTTGTTTTTGCATGCTATTATGGGTTCTGTTCTTGCATTCCTGCCAGCCTCTGCCACCTGCACCTTTACCTTCCCAGAAAGAAAACTGTTTCTTTAAGAAAAGGGCTTTTACATGGGAATGGATAGCCATTCAGGAGATAAGAACCAAGAGTAACAATTCAGTATGGATGCCTTCATCTGTTACAGCTTCAAGAAAATGAGTAATATCAATAACACTATGTTTTCAGAAGAGCAATATAAAGAGTAGATGTCTCCTTATTTACAAGGTATCACAAGGCAGGTGTCTTAGTGCCTGCATCTCCAGATTCTTGATCTTTAGCCCTCACCAGTATCTTCAAAGGGAATGGATTGGTGCTGATTATTCAAAATATCTGGAGGCCACTAGGTTGCCTACCCTGGTAACCTTCTGTAATCTATCTACTCAGAAGTAAGCCCTACTGATTTCAGTAGGATTTTCCCAGGTAAGTAAATGTAGAATTGCAATCCTAGTTTCAGATGCATTGGTGATAATGAAATAAACACTGATTTTGGGGGAGGGGGCATTGAAGACCTAGCTCTTTGCCCAGGCTTTTGGCTAGGGCAGTTGAAGCCCCTTCTAAGTAGCCTGTGTATGCTTTTTGTTGTTGCCTGGTATTGCCATTTTTGGTTCCTTTATTTTTATTGTTATATTGTTTTCTTGATTTTATTTTTCCTGTGTTTTTACCTTGGGAACTGTCCAGAGTTGCTAGGAGTCGGGCAGTGTATGAGTAAATAAATAAAGCAAATAGCCCACTGCCAGGATCAGAAATCCTTTACCATGCCCAGGACGATATGGGAATATTTTTTTATGTCTTCTCCTCCCACCTGCACTGCACTGAACAGAACAAAACCTTAGTAACTTGGGCTGAAGCAAGGTTACCACTGTGAGGTCAGTCATCCCGTAGGCCCAAGCCAAGGGAAATACGTTTAAATAATGAAACGGCACTATCTGCTTACCAGATTACTGCAAATGTCATTTACTACAATGACTAATTGTTCTGCAGGTTGTTGTTGTTTTTTTAAAAACGATGAAAAAATAATTATTTATTCACTGTTCTGAATGTTAGTTTTATGATATTTTTGCTTGAACCTCGTTTTAAGCATAGCGCAGCCATAAGACATGAAAATAGAATCTCTTTTCCACGTCAAAGAACGTCCAAATGGAGTGATATGCAGGGTTTGAAAAAAAAAATTCTCATTTCTATATCAAAGAAGTCATTGGTAGCACTTCAGAATAAAATCTTCCTTCTATATTAATGAACCCTATAATGTTTGAAAATAAAAAAATGATCCTGCATCAGACAACCGAAGTAGTGAGCAATATTTAAAATACAGTGAACATCCTTGATTCCAGACAAACTTGCTGGGAAATCTGTA